CCAGTGGGGGTGCCTGGCCAGTCTGGATGAGGGGCTGAGGGCCATTTTCAGGCTGGCGGGTAACTGAAGCTCCCAGCCTCTCTTTCTTTTTTTTTTTATTCTGGGATTTATTTATTTTCTTTAATTGAGACTTTGTTGCCATCACTGGAGCTGAGAGCCGGATCCAGCTCTGAGGCCGTGGCTGGCTGAAAGCAGGTATCTGAGTTTGTTTAGCTTCTATAATTGAAACTATGTTACCATCACTGGCGCTCTAAGCTCTGAGTCCGCTGCTGGCTGAAAGCAGGTTTCTGGAGTTTGTTTAGCTTCTATAATTGCAACATTGTTGCATCCGGACCTCAGAGCTGGGCTGAGGCAGGCGGGGAACCTTGGCTTCCTCCATCACTGGAGCAAGCAAGCCTCCTGCTCGCTTCAGCTGCGTGGCTGCTAGCCGCCATCTTTGTTGGCAGTTAATTTGCATATCCTGCTGAGTAGCCAATGTGAAGGGTAGCAAAGTTATGGTTAATTACCATGTTTCTCTATTAGATAGATTTGCTATAATAAAAGGGATTTTTTTCTTTTCTTTTTTTTAGTTTCTCTTTCAGAGAGATCATTATTGGTGTATAAAAATGCCATTGATTTCTGGATATTAATTTTGTATCCTGCTTCTTAGCCAAATGCGCTTATCAAGTCTAGTAGTTTTTTTTGGTGGATTCTGTAGGGTTTTCCATGTGTAATATCATGTCACCTGTGATTAATGACAGTTTTACTTCCTCCTTGACAATTTTAATGCCTTTTATCTTTTCTTCTTGTCTGACTGCTGTAGCTAGAACTTCCAGTGCTATGTTGAATAAGAGTGGTGAAAACAGACACCCCTGTCTTGTTCCTGTTCTTAAGAGAAACACTTTTAGTTTTTGCTCCTTGACTATGTTGTTGATTTCAATGTCACTAATCATCAGAAAAAATGCAAATTAAAATGACAAATGAGGTATCACCTCACACCTGACAGAAGGACTACCATCAATAAATCAACAAACAAGTGGTGGTGAGATTTTGTAGAAAAAGGAACCCTAGTACACTACTGGAGGGAATGCAGACTGGTACAGTCACTATAGAAAACAGTGTGTTTTCTCAAAAAATCAAAAAATGGAACTGCCATGTGATCCTGTGATCCCACTTCTAGGAATATGTCCTAAGAAGCCTGAAACACCAATTAGAAAGAATGTATGCACCCCTACATCCATAGCAGCATAATTTACAATAGCTAAGATCTGGAAACAGCCCAAGTGCCCATCAACAGATAAGTGGATAAAAAAGCTGTGGTACATTAACACAATGGAATACCATGCAGCTGTAAAAAAGGACCTCTTACTCTTTGAGACAGCATGGAGGGACCTGGAAATTATTATGCTAAGTGAAATAAGCCAGTCAGAGAAAGACAAATATCACATGACCTCACTTATATGTGGAATCTAATAAATAACATAAATTGATGAATAAAATAGAACTAGAGGCATGGAAACATGGAACAGACTGATGAATCTCAGGAAGGGTGGTGGTGGTGGGGTGGCAGGAA